AGAGTTTTACTTTCTTGTAAATTACATGATTCTTCTGCTAGAAAATAGACCCAATATTGCATTCATATAATTCCACATGAGCACAGTCCATGAAAATTAATCAGTGTATGAAACTTACAATGCAGCTAAACTTTCTTTAGTTCCTACAAGAACTTTAAAAATGGTAAATCAAGTGCTGTTGTAGTAAAAAAATGGCAACTTTAAAAATTGATGTGCACATAATCTAACCTAGTGATTCACAATCTAATATCCTTTTTTTTTTTTTTCTGCCAATGCTGAAAATTCTACCTGGGATCTGAAAATCAGATTGCTGTGCTCTGACATACCTATAATAAAGATTTTACAATAAAAACTTAGCTGGTGATGCATGAGACGGAAAAGCCCATCTCTCTTCTATAACTGTATTGACTCTGCAGTGTTAGTTCCATCAAACTAAGTAGGTATGACTTAGAGACACAAAATAGATTTATGGTGGTAGGAGCCATTTTTAAAATCACTTTTCAGACTGACTACAGCATTGGTTTAGAGAATTTGTCTGGGTGTCATAGACATTTAATTTTCTTTAACAACTTATAGCTGTGGATCTCAAAGCTGTGTAAAAGTGTCATCACTACTACATTAATCGTTGTTCTGCACCTCTCTTCCCCTTCCAGTGCACAGTACAAGTGAAGCTGGAGTTAGGGCATCGAGCCCAACTGCGGAAAAAGCCCACCACTGAAGGGTTTACTCATGACTGGATGGTATTTGTCCGTGGCCCAGAACAATGCGACATCCAGCATTTTGTGGAGAGGGTGGTCTTTCGGCTACATGAGAGCTTCCCCAAGCCCAAACGCGGTGAGTATATTTTTTGGAGTGTCTGGTTAACCAGCATTCGATCTTCTTTGTATGGCTGGTCACTGTGCAGTCTAGATTTTACCTTGCACTGTTAGGTTTCTGTAAAATATTTTCTTAAGGAGGAGCAAAACATAAATTGCATAGACACAAGCCTTGACCTTTGCAGGTGACTAAAATCCTTAAAATATTGGGTGAGGATGGGCCTAGGGACTTCTCTGTTTTTGTCACTGAGTAGATATCAAAATTTCTGCAAGTCCTACCCTTTCACAAATGCCATTTTCAGCTCAGTGCTTAGTAACATAGTATTTAGCATCAGGAATGGTGACGGGCCTCATTTTCCTAAAATTCAATATTTTTGAAGTACCAGGTCAGGAAGACTTGGTCACGTAGGTATCTTATAGATACTGCCTTACAATGGTCATTTGAAGAGTCAATGCTGTGAAAAGTAACCTGAAAGGTTACAGTTTGTTTTTTTTAATCCTGTACATCTACTATACATGTTGACTATATTTACTGCAAGTTAGTGCAATAAAATTGATGTATGGTAAGCAACTGGGTTGCTGAACTGGAAGTTAATTTATCAGAAGCCTTGAATAAAACTAACAATCTGTTGTGCTGGAATCCTTGTCAACCAATGTAATTACTTTATAACAAACATCTATATTAGGATTGTATATCCTCTTTGCTAAGCAGATTGCTGTATTACCGTGCTCTAAAAACAGCAGTTTATTTCCTTTCTTGCTTCTCACTTGCCTGGTTAAGGTTCCTCATCTCCCAGCCTGCTTTAACCCAGCCTTTCTCTGGTCAATAGATTAATTCTGCAGCCCATCAATACTATGCCTAAGTTGGCCTGAAAGGTTGTGGAAAGTCACTTGTAATAACTTGGAGCAAGGGACTGCTGGCAAGGTTGTACAGTGCAGCGAACACGTGAGAACTACTGGAGAAAAAATTGTAAAAATAGTGTAGCAGAAGAACAAAAGCTGCCTGCTAAATAGTCTGAACACTTCTTCTGAGATCATATGGGCATTATTTGTTTACGGTACAATTTTCAAGTGAAAAAAGTCAAAGTCAAGCAGTTCTTATTTCAGGCATGCACCTCCCTGTTGTAGGAGCTTTTGGAATTATCGGGTTGTATCTGTTGGTATGTTTAGGACAGAGAATGACTTTTCTTATATTAGGGGAAATTAACTTGGTAGATGCTAAGTTTTAAGGGAAATATCACTTCCTAATCAAACCAATTCTTTGAAATACTTTAGAAATAAACAGTATAAAGTCTTCCAGTAATTTTCTCTAGTGACTTAACTGACTTTATTTACATTTACTGTAATGCATTAACTATGTTCAAACATAAAAGTATCCTCCTTTCCTGAGATGAGAGTAGTCTGTTCCTGTTACGTCTCCAGTGGGACCAGTTATGTACAAAATAGCACTGACTACCTTCAAAGAGAGCTACACCCATCATGCCTTTGTTAATGGGACTTGCAGTGAAATGAGACTTTTGAGAGAATGAGAATAATTAAAAGTATTGGCCACAAAGGTGGCCTTAAGAATACATTTGAGAAGTATTATAAGTTGAATAGGACACGTTTTATAAAACACATCCCAATATGCAGTAAGATTGTTTTCACCTTGCAATTTGTATCTGTGTGTCGTGTCATCTGGGATGGAAATAACATACATGGTGTTTTGCTGCATACGGGCTGTGTTTTAATTCCTTCCATGTACATGCCACATATATAAAGCATTTCCTACTTGGTATATTTCATTCTGGTGATGAGAGTTTTGCAGACTGAAGTTCTCAGTACATTTAACAGATCTCAATTTTTCAAAGCAGACCACATCCTAGATTCCCTAAAGAGGATCTACTGTCTCCAAACCGTTGCCATCATGTGCAAATGGTTCTAGAATCCTCTGAGTCAGATGCTAGTGTATACAAAGTGCAATGGAAATAGGACAAGGGACTGGGGCCATGAGCAACAGATCCTTACTTAGCCAGGGAATCTTCATCCTGTTTGCTCAGATTCTGTGTTAGTGGTGTGTAGTTTACTCAGTGTCAGAGTTGATATTTGGTATCAGGAGCTCTGATGTTGTGTACTTTGGGGACAAGTTGTTTAACTGCTTGTTTCTTCAGGTGTAAAATGCACGCAGCATTTACCTGCAGCTTTGCTGTGAGATTTGATTGCACTGACTAGAGGAACTGCTAAATTTTCCTTTTCTTGTGAGAGGAGTCAGGGAGAGGTTTTCCTTTCTCTTGTTAAACACCTGATCTTCTGGTTTGGTTTATCATAAAGGTCAGTGTTTTGAATGAGCTCTGCATTGTAAGAGACCCACTTCTTATCCTTGTAATTATTTTGGTCTCAATTAATTAATGTTAAGTTATACTTGAAGCTAATGTGTTTGCTTTTTTTTCAGTGTGCAAGGAGCCCCCTTACAAAGTGGAGGAGTCTGGCTACGCTGGCTTCATTATGCCCATTGAAGTATATTTCAAAAATAAGGTAGAGTCCAAGGTCTGGTCTAATTGTCTTGAGCTGTTACCAGATAGTGGAGCTATCTGGTAAAAAAGGACCTGAATTCTCTGACTGTTTTACGTGTATTTGTTTATTCCTCTAATAAATAGAACTTGACTGTGAGAGTTGGAAGTGGAAGCAAACTTTCTGCCACTTCAGAAAGAAAACTTAGTGTCTGATAACAGGGTGGAGTTGATTTAAATCAAATCGTTTTAAATCTCTGTTCAGGAAGCCTTGATTTAATTGTTGTTTTCTACAAAAAGTGCATTCGTGTTGTTTGATATCCTCTATTCCAGGGGTTCTCAACCATTTCATGCTGAGGGTTGGCAAACCACGGACCGGCAAACTGCGGACCAGAAGTGACTGGCATACTGTGGGCAGGCAGCCAACCCTTTTTTATGCTCAGTATAAAAAAAGGTTGGCTGCTGGTCTGCACTGTGCCGGTCACTTCCAGTCTGTGGTTTGCCGGTCTGCAGTTTGCCAGTCCACGGTCACTTACAGTCTGCAGCAGCCAACCCTCCTGCAGAACGGCAGCCAACCCTGTGACCCCGGGGGTTGGGAACCCCTGCTCTATTCATTTAACTTCTTGAAACTTTGCACTTTTAGAGAGAAGCAAGGGCTTGACTCTATGCAAACAAACTTGCAGAGAGACAAGAGGGCTGATCAGTAGGCCTGTGCAAAGTGGCTAGTGTTCACTTTGGGTTCAGCCGATTCGGGGGACAGCGGTTTGATTCAGTGACTTGAATCACTGTCCCTATTTGATTTGGCTGAATCTGATTTGGAGATTCAGCTGCTGCTGAATCTCCAAATCAACCAGATCAGGCCCATCCCCCGCTCCTCTCCTGCCTGCCCTAGTTCCCAACACTTGGGGGGGTGGGGAGGGCCCTGGCTCAGCGGGTGCTGTTTGGGCAGGGGGCGATCCTCACTGCCCCCTGCTGCATGGGGGGCTCTGCATGAGCCCCCGAATCCCCCCCAGCCCCCACAGGTGCCCCTCATGGGCCAGCTCCAGCTCTTTAAGAAAAAAAAGACCTGAAGAAACCTGGGGCTTACTGCTCCTGCCAGCGGGGGATGATCCCTGCTTCCTCGCACCACATGGGGGCTCTGTATGAGCCCCCTGAAGCCCCAAGGCTGCACCAGGAGCGGTGAGCCGCAGGGTTTTTCTTGGCTTTTTTTTTTTTGTTTTCTTAAAGGGCTGAAGCCCTGGCAGGTGG